GGCTCGCCAAATGGCTCGCCGCGCGGCGGCTCCGCCGGCGCGTAGCCGAACGGCGCGTACGGCTGCGGCTCCGGCGCCGCGCCGCGCCAACCGCTCACGCGCGGGTCGTATTTGACCGATAGCTTCGAAATCTGCAGCGCCTCGCCGGGCGTCGACGTGCTCGTCGTGAAATAGAAAAGGTCATTCACATGCGGCAAGATGCTGCGGTTCCACTGGCTGATGCTGTACGGGATGCGCAGAATGTTGATGTCGCCCGTCACGCCCGGCGCCGCGCTCGGCAGCTCGTTGCGGAACGCGTACGCCTTCAGCTCGTGCAAGTAGCTGGGCACTTCCCAGTGCTCCGCGCCGTGCAGCACCGGGTGCCACTCGGCGCTGTACGGCGGGCGCGCCGTGCTCACGCTAAAATCTAAAAATGGAGAGCGACTTATCCGGCAAAAAGGCCCCAGCTTATGAATGTCCAGCAGCGGGAACGGCAGCTCTTCTGCGCCTGCCGGCCGCCGCGCCGCCCACTTCTCCTGGTCCAGCCACAAAAAGTACGCCCGGCCGCCCGGGCGCAAGACCACCGTGCTGTTCTTCGCGACCGCGAACCAGAACAGGTGCAGCCGCAGCTGGAAAATGTCCGAGGCGCGGTCGATGAAGTGCGGACTGCCGTCGAACGCGAGACCGGGCAACAGGAACAAAACCGAGTCGTATGGCGGGCCCACGCGCCCGCCGAGCGCGCTCTGCGCCTGCGGGAAGTACTGGCGCAACAGCGCCGGGTTCACGCTATAGTGGATCGCGTTCACGCGACTCTTCGCGAGGTCGTGGTTTGGCTTGTAGCTCAGAGGAATTTTGTGCTCCGGCACGCAGCACGTTAGCTCCAGCTGCAAACCCGCTGCAGCCTGCAGCGCCGTTTGCCAGAACGCGAAGTCCTCCAACATGCTGTTCGCGAAAGAAAAGTTGTCGTCGCCGACCAGCAGCAGCCGCTGCGTGCGGCCCTCGTCCATTCCGTCCACTCTGCAGCCTCGCGAACCGTGTAGCTCGCCAAATTTGCGCAATTAGTTTATCAGCTAAAATTTCGAAATTCCGGAGTTTTCCGCGCGCGGCGCAGGCGCCGACGTGCGTGTCTTCGTGCGCGCCGCTGCCGGCCGCGCCGCTAACTTCGCCGCGGACTGAGCCACGAACTGCGCCGCGGGCTGCGCCGCGCGCACGAGCGCCGCGAGCTCTGCAAGCCGCGCGCTCGCTGCTTTCGCTACCCGCTCCGTCAGCACGTCAGAACGCGTCGCGACGAATGCGTGCAGCGCCAGCGGCGCTGCGTCGTCACCGCCCTCGCCCGCGACGGTTTGTAGCTGCGCGACGCCGCGCAGCGTCGCGGCGTACACCCAGTCCACCAACGCGCACAGCGCCGCCAATGCGCGCGCCACTAGCGCTAGCTCGCCGAGCCGCGTCTTTTGCGCACCGCGCAGCGCGCCCTGCAGCGCACACAGTGGCAGCAGCGCCAGCAACACGCTGCGTATCGCCAGCGCGCAGAAGTACGCGGCCGCCGTCCTCACCTTCACGGCACGCGCCGCGTTGTAACCTTCATTTTTCACTGTTTCCATTTTTCCGATCCGCTAAGTAGCTCGTTGCAGATACTTCTGTCCGGTTCCGTGACTAGCTAGAAACCAAGTTTTAATTTTCCTATTTCGCTGCTCGAATTTCCGCGATTTTTCTCGACTTTTCGACCGCTACTACAACTGCTCCAGCGGCTTGTTCGCCGCGACCAACTGCTCATAACTGTCGTCCAGCATCATCGCCATCCGGCGCTGCATTTTGTTCGCGATGTTCCTGTACTTGCGCGCTAGCGGCGTCAGCGCAGAGTGCGTCTGTTGCTTGAAGTGGCGCTCGCGCTCCAGGCACAGCGCCGCGAACGCCTTGTAACTTGCTAATATCCCGCGCTCCGCGCTGTTTAGCGGCTTCTTGCGTTTCCTGTGCACTAGCTCCGGCCGCGCCTTTACGCTCAGAATCAACACTACTTGCGTTTCGGCTGCCACCACCTCGTTGATCGACAACTTCGAACGCGTCGAGAACAGTCGCAGCTCGTTTTCCTGCAGCGCACAGCAGAAGCTGTACTGAGCAAAGTGCGGGCAGTGCTGCGCGACCAGCGACGCCAGCGCCGGCTCTAGCGCGATGGGGTTTATGTGTAGCACGTTTGCGCGCAGTTCCATGCTGTACAGCTCGCGCACCAACTGCAACGTCGCTGTCGAGAAGTGCAGCAACCCCGGCAGTGCGCTCAGCGTTATCATGTACGGGCTCAACTCCAGGTACTGCTCGATCGGGCGGTTTACGCGCGAGAACTTTTTGAAGTCCTTCGTAACGCGCACCTCTTTCGCGAACCGCTTGATGTAGTCGATGTCTCGCACGAAGCAGTTGCGCCGGATGATCATGACGTCGGCGACTCGCTTGTCCTGAAAACGGATGCAGATGTGCCGTTGCTTCACGTCGAAAACAATCACCGTGTTCTCGCGCGTCGCGTCCAAGGCGTAGTCGCTCAGCCCGAACAGCCGCACCTGCACGCGTTTTGTCAGCGGCTCGCGGAAAACAAATCTCGCTATTGAAATGTGCTCGTTCGAAATGAACAACGTCATGCTCTCCACGTCTGGCTGTTTCGGCAGCGGCGAGTCACACGGAATTTTCGCGAGCGCCAAGGCTTTCGCCCAGTTGTCGTAGTTATGCTTCGTCACGTAGTCGACCACCAGGGAAACCGTCTTGCCGCCCTCCAGCGCTTTCGTCAGCTGCAGGAAACCTTGCGCCTTGTTAAAGGACGCCTTCGCGTCATACTGCGTCAGCACTATCGTCTTTTTCCCGAGGTTCAGCAGCAACTCTCCCTTGCGGTACGCAATCGCGAACCGCGACGAGTGCACCTCGCCGTCCTCTATGCGCGTATACAGGTGGTGCTGGCGGCTGATCGCTTGCGTCAAATCGGCCACTGGCGTCTGCAGCTTCAAGACTTTCTTTGACAGCGAGTTGTCCGGGTTGCGCGAAACTACGGCGACCTGGTTGCTGTCCACGTTGATAATCAGCTCATCCTGTTGCGATATGCTGATCACCGACTCCTTCGCGCCCTCGCCTGCCACTTTTAGCGAAAGCGTCCCGTCCGGCGATACCCCGCTGTCGAGCTCGATCGTTTCAACAGCCTGCGCCGCGTCACCCTCTGTTTCTTCGAACACCTTCAGCCGTTCCGACTCGCCGAGCAGCGGCAGTTGCGCGTTCACGTCCACTGCATAGTTATCGTGCGCCTCTGAGTTCCCGTACGACGCGCTCAGGCTCGAGGGGCTGGGTGTCGCGGAGTTCGCGTCGTCCATCGTTCGCAACACGCGCTTCAGCTTAGAGTTGCTAAACGTGTGTGTCAATACATGTTCCGCGCCGCTCCCTTCGTGCTCGGTGCGGCTCCCTGGCAGGTCGCCACCTACTCTCTTCAGCAGTCGCGAGCCGCTGTCGAACTCGCTGCCTGACTCGCCAGTCGACTCTCCGCTGCCACGAGCCAGTGCGCGTCCCGAGTGCGCACTTCGCTCCTGCGAAGCTTCTGCGCTGCTCAGGCCGTTTCCACGGCGCTGTGCGCGAGCGGTTTCGCGCTGCTTCTGCGTCCTCCGCGAGTCCGAGTGCACCAGTGAGTTTACCACGCTGCTCTCGGACGGGTGCCCCCGCCGTGGGCTGTCGGTCGGACCGTGCCCGCAGAGCGAGTCGCGGTTAACCCGCGGCGAATCGTCCGGCGACGACGAGAATGAGTAGCTATCCGAGCTCTCGTCGCGCGGTTCTGCGCTGCCCCCCATCACCAGCGAACCTGAGCTGCTCGAATCTTGCGAATAATGCATGCTGCGCAGCTTGTGAACCGTGCGATGGCCTGAAGCTGCCTCCGACGCTTGGTCCGTTGCCTTTGTCTTCGGCGAGCGCGGTGGCGAGCGCGGTGGCGAGCGCGGTGGCGAGCGCGGGGGCGAGCGCGGTGGCGAACGCCGTGACGGGCGCGCAGGAAGAGTTGGCGCTGCAACCGGTTTGCGTATCTGTTCCTCGCTCACGCTAAGCTGCGAGCCGCGCGTCGCCTGGCCGCGCGCAGCTTCTTGCATTGAGCTCTGAAGTGCGCCAGACGCCAGCGCGGCGCTGCCAAAGCGCGTCTGCTGTACGTGAGGGCGCTGCAAAGCCTCCCCGCTTTGCTGCCGCTTGATTATCGTGTCAACTTGCGCAAGCAAGTTCTTGCTCTCGTCTGAAATCGGCTTCATTACGCTGCACCACTGGTTCTCTTTCAGTGCCAAATGAAGCTTCATCAGATCGTTGCTGTTGTTCACCGCAATCTTAAGCTTAGACGGCTGCTCAA